ATGAAAATTAAATTGGAACAAATGATATAAACCCCTGACTTAATGTGTCACCCTCTCTATCTCTTATAAACCATCATGATCAGGTTGGACTTCTGAGATGTTCAACATGACACAATAGAGTTCTTTTAACAGGCCATTATGTTGAATGCTATGATCTGGCACATGTTCATCATAGATATTACTGTGTGAATTCACTTTCACAACTTTTGACCAATTTCCTTCCTTAACATTGATCAACTACTAAAGGGATATAAACCTGTATTATAAAAGTTATTAACTTCATTTTTACCCTGTTTTAAGGTTTTATAATCTTATATGAACAAATAAATTACTATTCATGTAGTGTTCGGCACGGCATGGCCAGTTGTGAGTCAATGTGCCATTTAACCCAAACACATGATCATAAATTAATAAAGGCTCATTGTCAAGCTTAACTTAAGTAAGCTTAGGAGCTGCATGCCTCCAAATTCATGCTAATTTTCAGGAAAATGATAAACATGTATTAAAAAGTAAAATATTGTCAAGTGCACAAAGAAAGAAAATTATACTTTTAAACAATACTTAAAATTTATTAAGTAGGTCAAAATATGCAAATATAGCAATTACAAATACAGTGAAAAATACAGTAAAATCATTTTATTTTTTTATCATTTAATCATGATTTTCTTGAAAAATATTTAAGCTCATCTGGAGGCCATCAACTTGAATTTCTTTTGATTTTTAAAACCCTGTGAAGTTGACCAGTTGTTGATTTAGCACCACAGAACCGTTTAATTTAGATATAAGCCAATACATAAACTGGTTTCAAATCTTGGTTAAGACAAAAAAGCTGATCCAATATTTCTATGACAGCTTCTCTAGACAAATTTGTTGCCTGCACAACAATCATGTATGTGACAGTTAAAATGTAGCTGCAATTAGGAAAATGGCTATCGGAGGAAGTAAATGTACTAAAGCTGATCTTCCAAGCTACTTTTACAAGCTACAAAATTTCAAACATTGTGATAAATATTATTCAGTGACCATTAAAAGTTACGTTGTATTCTGTTGAATATACGTTTTAAACTGAGAACCTGGCATTAAGAGTAGAAATGTGTCATTAAACTGGCATTTACAGTAGAAATATGTCATTAAATTATCACATTTTAAAGAAGCTTTCAGTGGTCACCGTATAAAGTATTGTTCTTACATTGATAATAAGTTATTAAAATTGAACTTTTAAACTTGATTTTATTTGGAGTTATAAGGTGTAGTCCAAAATGTCTAAAACATCGTGAAGTACGAGTCATTACATGCAAAACCATAAAAATCCTATACTGGTGGCCATATTTACCTCAATATCTTATGCCAAATATGATGTGCAACTTTTCAAAGATTTTTTTGTTTGTTTAAAATACAAAAGAATAACATATAATGCTAAATATTGCATTATTTTGCAAATATTGTAAATTGTCGGAAGGGTATCTCAAAATACTGGATTTTGGCGGCCATCTTGGCGGCCATTTTGAATTTTGGCCGCCATTTTGATTTTTAAGCTGGGGTCTCGATCCAAAACAGCAAGACATACATCAAACAAGAATAATCCAAAGTGGTTTGCTTGTAGAATTAATAGAACGATTATATGTACTTTGACTCTAACTAATAGGGGCCTCTTTAACGCCACGACTGCGCATGCGCGGCGCAAAATTGGATTCTATTGTTAGAATGACATCATCGTTCTATATTTAGAAATTCATTTTTAATCTCCCGGAAGTATACGGAGCTGACTCGTATACACGATTTAGGGCTTGAATCGCGGACATTGAAGGTCAGGTCCTCGGATCTAGACGGGGAGATAACATTTCAAGTGAAAATTATACACATGTATCCATAAAAAATATGAATAAAATGACTTACCTTTTAATTAGAACATTTTGTATTTAAATAATAGTCTGTATTATTCATATATCATTATTAATATAAATAGTATTAAAAACTTAATTCAATATTAATATATTATTTCAAATGTGTTTTTCTATAAACATTCCAAATAAAAGAAAATTAGTTAGTAATAAGATATAATTGAAAACTGACTGACTAATTGACTCTTTATAATACAATGAATAAGACAATTAATTAATTTAAATGTGTTTCTTCATAAACTTTTTTAACATATAACAAAATATATGAAATTAATTTTCAATTTAATTCGATATTATGAGTCAGTCAAATAATGTTTCTATATAAGATAATAATAAGGACTTTCACTGTAAAATAATTTAATAAATATTTACGTAAAATACATACATAGTTACGATGTTGACTTTTCGGCGTTCCTCAACGAAATGACTCTTTCAAGTTTTTTGCATTCCTTAATACGCATGACCGGTTTTAGTGACCTCATTAGCTAATTTAAAAACGGACAAAAGGCTATTCAGGTGTCAAAATTAATCCATTCAGAATGTCAACAATGTCTGGCGTATGTTGATTTAAGAGCAGATGTGCGGACAATGGTCCATTCAACTTTTAAAGATTAATCCCTTTAAAGTTGCCACGCTGTTTGACGTGTGTTTATTTAGGGACGAATATTTTAACAATGGTCTATTCAAGTGCCAAGCCTAACTTGTTTACATTATTTGGCTTGTGTTTATTTAAGGACGGAAACTTTAACAAAGGTTCATTTAACTGTCAAAATTAATTCCTTTAAAGTCGCCGCGATGTTTGGCGTCTTGTTTATTTAGGGAAGAATACTTTAATAATGGTCTATTCATGTGCCAAGGCTAGCTTGTTTACATTATTTGGCGTGTGTTGATTTAAGTTCAAAAGAGTTAACAAAGGTCCATTTAACTGTTAAAATGAATCTCTTTAAAGTTGCCACTTGGTCTGGCGTATGTTTATTTAGGAACGGATATGCGGACAATGCTCCATTCAAAAGTTTATCCGTCTTAAGTAAAAGCGGGTTAGCAATAAGCTATTGTAGTGTCAGTTTACCACTGGGGTATAATTTTAAACTCATTTTGGAAAAGAAATGCCAACATGTTTTAAAAACTGATCACCACATAAAAAAACAAAAAAAAAACTTTTATCAATGGTCACTAAAACCGAACAAAAATACAACAGAAAAGGCGTTTTTCGTCTTTTGTGCAACATTTTACGATATACATTTTGATTTTTTTTTCGCATAAAATGATAGACCTGACAGAATGCTTCAAAATAAACCCTAGGTTCTCGATTCGATTTTTAGCCGTTCTCGAGTTATGACCAATTAGCGATTTTTAAACCAATTTTTAAAAGTCCATAAAACCGTTAGATTTATATGCCGTTTGAAAGATCTCTGCGAGTAGATACAGAAAATGTATTATTATATGGATCTATCTCTTACCGTTTTTGAGATAGGAGAGTTTGAATATGGCAAACAAAATCACTCATTCGGAAAAACGCGCATTACTTTTTCGTTTATGAACGAAACATAGTTGTGTTTGGTATCAAATTGAAGGTCTTGACGAGTACATTTTAGTCACGCGATCAAACCGGATGTCAAGTCACTCGTGCGTGAAATTCATTTTTTCTCCCCAACCAACGGACCGATCTTATCAATACCTGTATCGAACGAAAGGTATTACTCACTAGATTCAGAAAATGTATAATTTTGTATCGCTGACTCGGATAGGACCCGATTAATGAAGTAAAATCACTCAAGCGTAAAATGTGGATTTACGCCTTTATTAGTCAATATAACCCGGTCATGTTTGGTATCGTACGAAATGTTTTAAGGCGCTCTTTATAAATACGGACTAAAATCGAAATAAAAATCACTATTAAATCTTTTAATCATTCTTCATTGAAAATACTGTATCCGAAATATAAACTCTACTTACTGCGTTAATGATGTTTACTCTATGACGTCCAATCACCAAATGACCGAAGTCACCAGTGCGATACATCATACGCATGCGCTGATCTAAATTTAGAAATGACATTGTCCAATTTAACAGCAGTTTCTCTTTTCTTACGGACTAAATGTAACCAATCAGATAGAAGGATTATTTGACCAATGATTTTGATCACGTGACTATAAATAACATAAATAGATGAATAACGTCATGCCAAAAATAGCAGCCAATCAGATTTTAATACGTGTGTATGTAAATGAATACTTATTAGCGTATTGGAATAAGCAAGATGAACGCCACTGACTGTAACCAATCCTTCAACCAAAACATGGGAATATGACGAAAGTAGACTTAAGACGTTTCGATACGTATCCCAAAACAATTACTCCCGAATAAGTACGAACTGGCAAGCGCGGTGATTATACTACAGCGGGAAATCAGACTTTGTGCGAGTGTTTCAGATTGTCACATAAAATTAAGCGCCTGGGATAGATCGGACATTGCATTGAGAGAACATCACAAGTGGTCACCCAATTGCGAAAATATTAAAATAGTAGGCGCTCCTCATCCGACAATCTCAGCAATTGTAACTTTCGCACTTAATTAATATTACCAATTTTGTCTGGATCTGCCAGCTGAGCTGAACCCCCTAGTATCATTTACAAATGACTTATCCTGCAGTCATCACTGAAAAAAATTGGTAAAAATTACTAAAATATAAAAGATTATATTAATAAGGACCCCTATGTAAAATCTGATGAATATTAAATGGTAAATCATCAAAATAATATTATATATTTTTTTCAATAAAACTAAGACCGAGGTAAATATTTTTTTTCTGATTTTATCTGATGTTGTGTAAACAACCTCTTATTCTTTTGAACCGATCTCCTCCTGAACATTTAGAATGATCTATTCTGTATTATTTACTCATTATTTGCTTATAGCCGAAATTTAAACATTTATCCGAGTGCTATTCAACATGACCTTCTTTTTGAAGAGTAAATATCCTTGATTATCTTTCTTTGAAGCGCATAACGATGCGCACAAAAAAACTACCGAAAACGTCTTTAATACAATGTTTGACTTACTGCAATTTGGTCTGACATGACATCAACTACAACTACAACTACAACTACAAATATTTTATTGCATTAAAACAACATGTTCCATAGCAATACAATTTTTTTATACAAAGACATGGTTTACAGAAGAGCACAATAATATAATATATGTATCTGCATTAAAGATGACTAGTTATTTCGCAAGTTTGCATAGTATATATATTTTGCTAAATTATTAATTATTGCTTTTGATTTTGCACATATGAGATTAACAAATTTCTGTTTAGTTGGCCACGTATAATAATATCTCTTTATATATTTTGATCTTAAGTCCTGGAATTTAGAACATATTAATACAAAATGATACTCATTTTCTATAAGACCGGCATTACAATTACTACACAATCTTTCATTTCTTGGTATATTTCTATGCCGTCCACGTTCAATAGCCAAATTATGAGAAGATGAACGAAATTTGGATAAAGCTACCCTAAATTTCGGTTCAACGATAAAATCCAAATAGTTTTCAAATTCGAATGAATGTTTAAATAAACAATATGTATCTAATCTAGACGAGTTATTAATTGAGGAATACCAACTTTGATAGAAATTGTCTAAAATTCGTTGTTTAATGATACTAAAATCGATATCTATAGTAAACTGATTTTCCCACATATAAAACAAGCCAGTCTGCTCTAAAATAGTCTTAACAGTATATGCCCAGTTTTTACCACTATAAGTTACACCATTGTCGGCATCTGTTTTTAACATAATAAAAATTTTATACAATATAGTTCTTTCGTTAAGTTTAAGAAGTTTTAACCAGTATTTGATCAATATTAGTTTTCTATGAATGGACATTGGTGTACGACCAAGTTCACCATATAACACATCTACATTGGTTGATTGTTTTACACATAACACTCTTCTACAAAACTTTGTATGTATAATTTCTATGTTCGGACCAGCATGATGCCCCCACACTTCTGCAGCATAATTTAATGTTGGTAAAACAATACTATCAAATAAACTTATCATTTGGGAAACTGGAAGTTACAACTGGTTACATACATTAAATAAATTATGTAGTGAATATGACGCATGTTGCGCAATATATTTTTGAGTTCTGTTCCAGTTTCCATTTTTAAAAAGATACACACCTAAATATTTAAAAGATTCTACAATTTCAATTCTTGTGTTATACAAAAAGAAATCATAAGATGTATGTCTACCATTTTCAAAAATCATTACTTTTGTTTTAGACACATTTAATTTCAGATTCCACATATTGCAATAATGTTCTATATCATTCAAGATAGATTGTAATGAATTTGGATCATGTGTGAAAACTACAGCGTCGTCTGCAAATAACAACAAAAATACCTGTATATCATCAATGTTAACAATACCAGGAATGTTCCTATTTATATTATTTAATATATCATTGAGAAAAAATAAACACAATATGCTACTTGCTGGATCTCCCTGTTTCACTCCAATCTTAGAATTAATTAGATCAGAATGCATGTTTTTATATTTTACAAAAGATTTAACAATACCATACATTGACTTGATTGCAGTAACAAATTTTGTACTTATATTTTCATTCAGTAACTTTCTCCACAATAAAACCCTATCAATACGGTCAAACATTTTCTCCCAATCTAGAAATGCTATATAGAGTTTCTTCTTATTCGACAAAGTCTTTGTTATTATAGCATGTAGAACAAAAATACAGTCAACAGTTGAATCAAATATGTGTTTGATTTGAAAAATGGTTTTTTATAAGATTGTTTATAATTTTCAATATTTTTTGTTATTTCCCTTTAATTAACAGCGTATATAAGAGCAAAGGAAAAAGTGTTTGGAAAGTTACTATTCATGATTGAGAAAAATGAAAATTAATTTAAATCTTTTCAAAGTGAATTTATAGAACCAGGAGCTTTTAGTTATATAAGATATTAATGTATATATACTAAAAGAGATGGAATATGTTACATGTATATTTTTTTAACAGAACAGAACAGAACAAGTTTATTTCAACAATAATTAAGGAATTGAACTTACGTTCCTCTTCCATACATGCAACACATATAAACATAGGTCAATATACATGCATAAACATATAATAGTTATATTGGAAAATAGGTTATCAATACATCAACACAGTTTAAAAAGTGGCGCAATTTTTTACGTTAACTGTCTAGACAAAATTATAGACAGAACTATTTTTAATTGAATCGATAATTGACAAGTCTGTGATAAAAATTTTCTGTCCAGATTATTAATGGTCGCTTCGCGGTAGTAGAGTTGCATTAATACAATATCCTTTAACCCATGTTCGATCGAGTTTTTTTGAACGGACAAGTTGTCGGGCTTTAAAACACAGTCACTCTCGAAACTTTGTAATGCTGTCCTTTACAAAGATTCCGTAATAAAGATAGGAGATAGCAAATTTATTTGAGTTTCAAGCCAACTGAGAAAGGTTGGGATCCAAATGAATGGACTACTTGCTTGCAAACATACACAGCAAAATATTTGTATTTAGACTTAATTAAGAAAATGTCTCACAAAACACTGATTGTATTTGCAAAATAATTTAGTTTTTAGTCCTTTGTTATCATCTCGTAGTGTGCATTATACAATTAACCGAGTGATTGCAATCAAGGGTGATTTTGACCCTGATATGAAAAGTTTTACCATGAGACACATTGTGCTGTAACAATAAGCACTTAAATAAAATATTTAAAGTTGTGCTGCAAAATGGTAGAAACAAGAACCAAAGACACAATGAATTTCAAATGTTCAGCCTTTCTTTTTGAAAGACCCTTTTCTAATAAAGATTTGGTCAGAAAAATGGAATAACAAAGCCCAATAATTATCAAATTAACATTTTCTGTTTTTTAATTATTTAATTTATTTAAAAAATGTGCATTATAGGACAATAACACATAGTTCTTATTTGTAATTAAAAGTTTCTTAGCAATTCATACTCGAAGCCTTCCTATCAACTAAAAGCCTCAAATGATCAAATACTTTTTTGGTATGACTACACTGGGTATTGACAAGTCATCATATTCCTGTTTATTGTGAAAGGATTTATATCCAACTTCTTTATAAACATCCTTGCATATTTCCTCCATTTTCTCAACAATTTCCCATTTTAAAGAATTTCTCCACCAAAATGCTGTATTTCTTTTTCGCTCCGTTGCACCTGATCCCGCGTTCTTAAAAGCCGAAAGTTTCATGATATTTGGGTAATATTTCTCATTTGTATTCATACCTAAATAGTTATATAATAGTTTAGACTTGTTTAAAATATCAACGCTTAAATCTTCGTAATAAATAAATCTGAATCTATCTGGGAATAATTTTTGCACTTTTTGACCTTCGCGAAAATCGTAAAGCATTTTATTGCACAATGATTTAGCGTTTTCTATTATCATTTTGTCCGTGTATGAAGGGTACCAACTTGTAATTCTAGAATTAACAATGGCACGTGGATCTCTAAAGAGATGAATGACCTTGAGATTTACACGTGACTGCAGAACAGGCGCCAATAGGTCTGTTGTAAGTCGTAATACTTTTGTGACTTTATGTGTAGAGTCTTTACACCTTCTCGGTATATGTCTTTGAAAACATATCTGGTAATTGACCTTGCGTTTCATACATTCTCTTGTTGTATTCCAGCTTGGACCTGTTTAAATTAAAAACATACAAAATGAAGTTTCAGAAAGGTCAGCTTGACTTATGTACAAAACTGTTTGTTTGCATAGCAGAATTTGGGTTTTTAAAGGCCCATATATCCTACAATCCGTTATTACTTTTATTCTCCTAAATCCTATTATTTTTGTTGTTATTATATGTTTGTTTTACAGTTGCTTCAATTGTAAGGTATTTGCATTCATAACTCACCTCCTAATGTGGGTGTTAACGAAGGTTCAACCACTGTACGTTCATAGTCGTTGAACTGGCAATCGTACGTTTTGCTCAAGATATTCTTAGCCAGCTCAAGAGAACCAGTCGGGCGCCTGAAACAAGAAATCTGTCTATCAATAGTCCATTGACGTCATTACAATGCGAAATATCATGTGAGTCATTAGTAATTTTTAATAATCAATAAAATAAATGAACAAATATAGAAAGAACTATTTTCACTTTGCACAATATAGTTAATAAATGTTGAATTCTGCTTAAGCCGGTGCTAAAGGGCGTGGACGGTAACTTACACCAACACAGGTCCACCGGGGCAAGGAGCCCAGTAGGACACCAAACAAAAGTAGGGCAGGGCACAAGAAAGTCGAGTTTTCAAAGGAAATAAATTTGTTTGCAAATGAACTTATACAGTCTACATTGGGTCCATTTAACAACGCCTAAATACGGTAAAATGCAACTTTTGCTAGAATTTTCATCTGTTTATTTACAGAAATGTAAAATAAATACAAGCTTCTTTATTTCTCTCCATTTAGTCTATGTCCCCTTATAGCACCGGACTAAGCAAGATGCATCATTTTTATATGAAAATGATGTTTGTCGCAAACTTTGCGAATTTTTTGCAAGTTAAACATGCTTTGATTTATTAGATATTTTTTGTAATTTCATAACCTTTTATAGCAAAGTTGAATTGAACTACTTTTCATTTGATGCTCCTGACTTTGTTTAAGTAATAAGAAATCTTCTTAAAATGTATTATTTCATTGTAAACTCCGCCGTATGCTTTATATGCTTTTCTTGATTATTGTCCCGCCTTTTATTAGTATATAAGCTTAGATGATTTAGCATAGAAGTCAGAAATTATTTAGGTTCTAAGTGTGTAAGGTCTTCTTGAAACTACTTTTTGATTAAAATTTAAGTGACATATTTTGGATATTTTAAATTATTTAATTTCTTGGTTATATTTAAAGATAAAAAAAGAGTTTTATATGAGTAAAGTTAAAATTGATGTTTGTTTATCAATCATAAAAGGTAGGTATCATATTAAACTGTCAAAACGTTTCTTGTGTTTAGTTTTATTTTCTAATATTACTAAGTAATTGTTATGACAAATAGTTATAACAAATACTTAGTAGTAAAAGCATAATACAAAGGGTGAAATAAATTCAAACACTGTTTTATTGTGGTATAAAGATTTCAGCCTATAAAACATTAGTTAAAAGAAAAAGTGTAAATAGAACTTAAAATATTGTTGTGTAATGATGTGAAGTGTTACTTAATGAACAGTTTTAAAACGTACATTGCTGGTTGCTAGCTATGTTAGATAAAGTTGTGAAGTGTTATAATTTTGTTTTCGCATTAATATGTTCAAAGTGATGTGTATTAATGCAATGAAAAGTGTCAGGAGCAAAGTGTAAAAAATGTGTTAAAAACAGGAATTGTGTTGTGCTTTCATGGATTATATAAAACATTAAAAGGAAATACATAAAGGATATTCCCTGAATTGTGTGTTGTGAAAAACTTGCTAAACAAAATAAAACTAAAAATATTTCATATTTACAAAATGAAACAGTTTTAAACTGAAATTTACTGCTTAAGTTTAAATATCATACACTTTAAGTGTTTATAAAATTAGGTGTTTATAAAATTAAGTGTGAAAATGACTACACTCAAATATCTTAAAGGAGTACGAACAAGGTTCGTGAACACATTAAAAAAGGAGATACATAATGGAAAGGAACTTATAAGTCTAGATTTAAGTGACGTTAATAAAAAGGAAATATTATCAAAAGTGATAGTGTCAATCGATAAACTACAAACATATATGTCAAAACTTGAGGCTCAGTCAGAAAAAGTGATTGTTAGTGCTGAGGAGCAAAAGGAAGATATAACAGACCAAATAATGTCTGAAGATACTAAATTGTTAGAAAATGCGTTGGAACTGACTTCAAGTTTGAAAGTGCTTGAAATACATCTAAACGATTTGATAGAAAGTGATACAATTACAGGTGAAACTAAACATGTTGAAAATACAGAATTAAAGGAAGTTATTCAGTTGCAAAAAGAATTACTTGAAAGTAAAGTGCTAGAATTTTCAAGTTTTAAAAAGAATAATGTGAAATTACCAAAACTTGAAATTCATCCTTTTTATGGCGATAGACTTAAATGGACTGAATTTTGGCAGTCTTTTGAAAGTTCAATACATTCAAGTGATACTCTTAGCAATATTGACAAATTCAATTACCTCAGGAGTAAACTTACTGGTGAAGCAAAGGGTGCTATAGCAGGATTATCTCTTTCGAATGAAAATTATTCAGTTGCAATTAAGACCTTACAGGATAGATTTGGAAACATTCAAGAAACAATTGATATGCACTACAATAAGATAGTGAATTTAAGATCAGCGAATGATTCGGTGGAAAGTTTACGACAATTATGTGACTCTGTTGAAAGACATTTGAGAAGCCTTGAGGCTCTTGGTCAAAATGTCAATCAAGACTTGTTTGTGTCGGTGTTAAAGTCAAAGCTGCCATCAAATGTGTTAAGACAACTTGAAATAAAAAAGGGTTCGAGTAAAAAGTGGACCATTGTGTTATTACGTGGCATGATAATTGAATATGTTACTGCTTGTGAACGTGCTTCAACAGTTAAAAGTGGTTTTGTCAAATCTGAAAGACATTTTGATAAAAATAAAAGTCAAAAATATCATTACCAAAAATGTTCTAAAGTCAGTTATGCACTTTCTACTAAACCAGTACTTGGAACAGCATTGACAACAAATTGCACAAAAGTAGGGCAGAATAGGAACAATTCTATAAAATGAAGATATTGTTCAAAAAGTCATTGGAGTGACGAATGTCCACAATATAAAACAATAGATGAAAGAAAGGGTTGCTTAAAGAAAAGCTGTTATAGATGTTTAAAAGAGGGACACAGTTCAAAAGAATGTCAGAGTAGAAAAAAATGTGTGTATTGTTATGAAGAAAATGTACACCATAGAAGTTTGTGCCCTGAAAAATTTAAGAAAAGTGTGATTAAAGAAAGTGCGCATGTAACAGAAGAAGGAATTGAAAGTGAAAGTGAGCAAAGTCAAAATGATGAAAATGTGCTTTTATCATATGGGGAAAAGGTTGTAATGCAAACATCAAGTGCAATACTGTGTAATGAAAATAAACTGATTGAAGAAGATGCGAGGATATTGTTAGATTCGGGTTCACAAAGAACATATATAACAGAAGAGTTTGCAAAGAAATTAAAATTATGTAAAGAAAATGAACAGGAAATAACTTCAGCTACATTTGGAAGCAAACAGTCAAAGAAGATTAAAACTGCATCTGCAAAAATAAACTGAAATCTAAATGTGGTGAGTAACTTGAAATTACTGTGAATTACTGTAATACAAAGAAGATCGGTGAATATTGAAGATAGAGAGCGTTTTTATGAATTAAAAAAGAATTTATATTTGGCCGACAAAATTCCAGAAAAAAATGAGCGACAAAATTGATTTACCTGTTGGAAGCGATTATTATCTAGACAATAATTGGACATAAAATTGAAGTTCAAAAAGGTTTAAAGATTTCAGTCAATGAAATATTAGTTAAAAGAAAAAGAAAGTCTACCACAATGTTCTTTGGGAGTAAATAGTTAATCCGTAAAATTGCTTTAACCCTTTAAAAGGTCTATTAGCGGGTGGTTTAACAATAAAATACAAATGCATTTCTAGTAATACCAGGATTTGTTACACGCTCCTGTTTTTAGATAAAATTTAATGTCATTGAAACACTCCTTTATCCTAGGATGAACAGCACCATTCCTCAAAGAACATTTTCTTTGTGTCCAAAGTGTTTTTTTTTTTCAAAAGGTATGATTTCATTTTACTATGTCTTGAGGTGAAAATACATAAAGATATGTACACGTATTAAAAAATGCGTTTTGGGGGAATAAACGTTTATGTTAAATGATATTTGAGATGAATTATATTTTGAATGATAAAGTATGAAGTTTTCAAATATATAAAAGGATACCTGTTAAGGTTGTCTACAAATGATTTGTCTGGTATTGCCTTCCATGGCTCCACATGTCTGTAAACAAAAGCCGACATAGTATAATTTTAATAAAATGCACCCTTTCTTTCTTTCTTCCTATCTTTCCATCTTTATTTCTTTCTTTCTTTCATTCTTTCTTTCTTTTTGTGTTTAAAGTTTAAAGAACTGATTCAGACGTGAAATATTTACTATATAGATGTTGGCTGATGCTAAAATCATGATGTGGTAAACATTGCATCCAATTTTTTTCCCTCAAGGATCATTTTAATTAACTAAATTATTATATGATAGCTTTGTGACCAATCGGAATTCTTTTTATTTGGTTTTTCTGTCATTTACTTTTTCATCAGCTTAATATGACTTGTTCAAGCATTTTCTTATGCCTTTTCTCTTCACTATGAAGTTTAAATTACTTATCTACTTTTTCCCAACTATATAGTATTTAACCTTCTCTTATAGTGGCGTTTACCATCATTTACTACACTTACCTTGCCGTTTGTTTATTATCTTATTCATTATGGCTTTTAATCCTTTTTTGCGAATATTTACCTAGTACTACAATATTGGCCAATATTTTTTTCAGGATGGAGTAATTTAAAATCAGTAAATATTGTGCATTAAACCCTCCCTAAAAAGATAATTTGTAGAAACACCATCACGTTCGGTAGAGTTTCAATTTCCTAAAGATTAATTATCACTGCAATAAACTTCCTACAATAAAATACCACTGGACGGGTAAAAGAGTATTTCATGCTATGTTCTAGCAATCGTTTGAAACCAACCCATTCACATACCTGCACTCTAGACGATCAGATCTGCACACCATGCTGTTACCATACCAATATGTCCACCTTGAAATTTTCCACAAGGGTTCGTAAAGGTAAAATGTATCAAGTCTGTGTCCGAGAACAGTTCCAGTAAAAGTACTTCCGCCCCTCATGTAACTATTCAATAATACATCATAGTAGTTTACTGAAAAAGAGAAATCTTATTCTATTCTTTTTAAAGAGACGTCATCCGATCTTATGATATAACAAGCTAGAGCACCAAATGCGGTGTTAACGCTAATTTATAAAGGGCAACATCGAAATTTCTAATTGTGATAAAAAAAGTTAGGGCCTTAGCTCTGAAAAATGTAGCGTTTAGAATTATGCCCTTTGTCTAACAACTGCACATTGTCATAAAAATCTTTTTGTTGCTGAGGGGTTTTACTGGTTGAGGCATGGGAATTGCAGCCACCGTTTAACCTTGAGTAATGATAATAGTCGACTAAATGGGTTCAAATTATTTAAAACTATGCATCTTTTATATCCAGCAGGTGAAATGGTTTTGACCCTAGGTGTTGCTTTTAGTTTATAACACTCAAGGTAATCCAAAATCACCTTTCCTGTTTCAGTGCCTTAGAACTGTGCTTTTATTATGTCATAAGATTGATTGTGTTTGAACCCGTAAAACCAAACAAAAGAAACAATTGTCATAATTTGGTAGTTTTCAACATTTAAAGAACTCGGATGAGAACAAAACGTTTAAAATTTGAATTATGTACGCACTATAGAGTAACTGTGGCAATAATAACCTGAAACGCTGTGCAAACGTCAATAAAGTAATGTACTGCGATTTAAATTTAAATCGATTTTAAGTACTATTTTCTGTCTGATTTGAGCTAAAACGTTAAACGTTTTTCATTTTGGGGCCATTGTACACAATTGAAATAAATATTCTGGAAAAACGCAGGGAGCGAATGATATGAATATTTATGTGAACCCACATAAAATGGTAAGAAAACGATAAAATAAGCCAATCACGTAAAAAAATGACTCCGGAGTCCCTTAAAAATTGCTTATTATGTCCGTTTGCAAAATATATAAACAAAATGAAATCGTTATGAAAACCGATTTTATGATGTGATGAAATACGTGTCTGTCTGTTGACTAAGAAAAAAATGAACTTACTTTTGAACACCGGTCCCTTTGGACCAATGTCTTCCATTCTGTTTTTAGAAACTGGATCTGTTTAAGCAAGTGAAATATGTCATCATTGTCGTAGTAAAGTGTTTAAACAATTATAAAGTAGTAATTCGCGATAATGTTTACGTGCCTTTTAGGCGTCAAATCAGAGAAATAAATGAAAAGAAAGAAGATTTGTTTACCTCTTTTTAACATTTTACATGAATATATGGATCGCTTTTGAAGACATTCCACAAATAGAGCATGTAAAAATACAAATTTCATTGAAGACGCCATTTTGGACCCCATCTTTGATTTTCGGAGTTTCCCAGAAGGGAACTTTATATATCTTTTTCAAAATCTACATACTATAATCTTTCAGAAAATGTAAGTTTAAATTCTGTGCACATTTTGTCCGGAGATATTAAAGCATAGACTCTACTATATAGATATGTATAATAGAAAAATTGATATATGTAAGCATTTAGATAATAGGAAGTTCAGAGCCAGTGCAAAACTGATAGATCAATTCTGACCCGACGCGTCACACAAATGAAGCAAATGTCGCTTTTTCTTTCTTTAATTAATCATAATATCATTGTAAAAGCCGTTATTGTGTGATACATATCTAATCTATAATAGTAAAAAGTAACGTCTCTTGATTAAAGCAAACTTACTTGACACACGTGCGTACTGTAAGTGTACGAATATGATAGCTGAAATTAGAAAAGTTATGTCAATGAATTTCTTTAAAGCATAAAAATTTTGTCGTGTGGCTCATAATGCAGTACTTTGCTAGTGTGTCAGATATCAAACATTTTGTAGTACTTGCCTTATCATCAAGAGTATATGGTCGACCAAGCATTCTTAAAGCAGCACGCATCAGATTCAAGCAAAATTTCATTAAAAATGTATATAATAGTAAAATATTCTGAACAGGGCATAGAGAGGAATTTACACATTACAAAAGACACTTATATAATGCACGTCAATTACCAAAAAATGGTCTAAATATGTAAAGATTGTCCATACTATTAAGAAATGCAGTAGATATATGGAGTTGAATAATTGAATACTGCTAAAGCAGTAAATAATCATTCAGAACATGTAAATCATTTCTTGAATCTTTGGTCTTTTAACTTTTCTAACACTCTTAATACACTTAACTCAACTTTTAGTGTCTTCACCGTAGGGAACGTGTTACAGTATCGCGTTTTCCGGTTACAGTATAGAATTTTAAAGATGGAGGATTATTTGTGGGGAGGACAGGTAGGTGATTTTTATTCCGGTCCATACTACAAGTAGTTTAATTTCTAAAGGATGTTTTTGCTTTGCTTGTAAGGAACAATCCGGTATCTAGTCATATATTTTTTCAGACGCTGCACCGCAGATTTATCTCTACTTTGTCTCATTAATATGCAGATTTGACAGTTTGAAAATTTGAATCGAGAGACCAACGCATTTTTCTCCCATTCCGACATTATTTATGCATGCCTAGAAAAATTAAATCTGCAAAACGTTAGTCCTTTATGTTAGGAAACGTTTGTAAAAGTAAATGATCAGTTGAACCTATTTTCCTGTTCGTTAAATGCGTTTGAAAAAATAAACAATGTTACAGTATAGAGCGAGGTGATTTGTGCAGGGTTACAGCATAGACCTAGCGATTTTTATCCGATTTTGTTACAGTTCATACCCAGATTTCGGTTACAGCTTAGACTTCCATATTTTCTATATATACTTGGTAAAATGTATGAATGTCACATAGACTTTTAAATCTCCGTGAGCGTATTGGTCAGATATCTATTCGTCCGTCTGTCGTACACATGTGTGTGCAATCTCATCCGCTCAGTAACTACTTGACTAAATGTGATGAAATTTACATGACTTTCTACCAAAATTGTTCAAATGTTTTCGGTCGCAATCGGGGATACGAAAACCAAAAACATAGATTTTGAAAAAGGCAATGTTTAAAGGTTCTTCTCATCTCGAACCAAAAGCATTTAAATCAAATTATGATTATGGCGTCATTTCGAATGCTTCTTTGTTGAAGTTACGATTATCTTGTCATTATTAAATAAAAAGCCATTTTATTTTATTTCAGACACCCTGTATACAAGTTTTCACGTTTCTGAAAAAGAAAAAAATATAGAAAGTTATATAGTATAAATTAAGGTCTGACAATTACAATGAATATCTTCTCCAGTGAGCCTGATGGAGGTACATAATAGTGGCAGAGTCGGGATAAGGCCGTCGACTTCAAATCATCTTTTCTTTACTGCTGTGGTTGAAATCCCATCGTGACTTTGGATTCTTTGTATGTGAGGAATTTTTCAAGCTAGTTTACGGAAGGTGGTCGTGTCTAAAATGTTTCACAAAGGGTATCTGGGGTCTTTCTTTACACTAAAGCAGGAATGTTTTCACATGACCTCAGTGTTTTTTGAAAATTAAAAAACCACGAAAGCCAAACGTAACAAACCCTTTTTAAATACTTACAAAATACATTATTGTAGATGAAAGTTACAACTTAAAAAGAATTTAAGGTTGCAGTATTTCTCACTTAAATACTGTTTAATCACCATTAGGGTATTGCCTGTTTTTTAATTGTGTCTTTTGACAGCTTATCTGTGATATGCAAGCTTCATAACTTCCGATCCCCTCTCAAAATTTCATTTTATTTAGTTTCACTCATTGTATTCTCGTTTAGGGCACACGCAATTTTTAACCTGGGGGTAATATGCCGCTTTTCATGGAATGGCCATAACGTGTCACATTGAAGGTTCCATGATAACGCCATATGAACACATCCACAGATGTTAAAAAATCTAAAGTTTACCAGTTCATGTTTAATGTGAATTCTGCTGAAACCGGTGCTAGGAGGCGTGGACGGTAGCTTGCAGTTACCACTACCGTCCATGAACAGGTTGAATCGAATTGAGCCTGCAACATTTTCATGTTTTCCGTGTTGGACTTCTGTTAAGGATTCTTTTTTCTCTATTTTTTGTACTTATAGGCATTATTATAATGTGTAATGAAATCAAGCAATAATCTTTCATACAATTTGATAAAAGTTACTAGCTGTTGTTGTCGTGAAAACAGTCCTTACTTAGGACATTGCTTATTCTGCAAAAATTCTCAATCTGAAACTTAAAGTAAGAAAAATAAGAAACTATAACTTTTCTGCTGAAGAAAAAGAGTAATACAACCTTTCAAGAATGTATTAAATAGAAAGGTATGAGTTATTTCATAAAATTAATGGATACACGAACTTTGTTTGAAATTTTGCAAGTATCTAAAATGTAACCGAAATCTGGGTATAAACTGTAACAAAATTGGATCAAAGTCGCTAGGTCTATGCTGTAACCCTGCAAAATTCATCTCACTCTATACTGTAACATTGATTATTTTTTCAAACGCATTTAACGAACAGGAAAATAGGTTCAACTGGCCATTTACTTTTATAAACGTTTCTAAACACAAAGGACTAACGTTTTGTAGATATACTTTATCTAGACATGTTTAAATAATGTCGGAATGGGAGAAAAATGCGTTGGTCTCTCGATTCAAATTTTTAAACCGTCAAATCTGCACATTTATGAGACAATAAAGAGATAAATCTGCGGTGCAGGGTCAAAAGCAATATATGACTAGATACCAGATTCTGTTCCTTACAAGCAAAGCACAAAAACATCTTTAAGAAACTAAACTACTTGTAGTATGGACCGGAATAAAAACCACCTACCTCTCTTCCCATAAATAATCCTCCATCTTTAAAATTCTATACTGTAACCGGAAAACGCGATACTGTAACACGTTCCCTACGGTGGTCTTGAAATATTTTGGGTGATCTGGAGGTATGCAGCTATAAATCGCAACATGAATGGAAAATATTTCATCGAGCTCATCACTTCAATGCTCAAATAGTGAGGTCACAGTAATATATCAAAAATTTCAGTCTATATACAGGATTTACGCCATCAATTATTAATATTTTCTCGTGAGCAACACAATTTAGGTCATGTGGCGACGAAACCGGTAAATGACGTTGGCTAATATTGAGTGTTGAAAACTTAAAAAGCAATACTAGGGGTCAAAACAACCTCACCTGCTGGAGCTAAGAGGTACATAGATTCGAGTTATTCGAACCTATCTAGTCGCCTCTTGTGATCACTCAGGGATAGATGGTGGCTGTAATTTTTATGTCTCAAACCTTAAAGGCAACCGCTCTGACACAAGTGGCGTTTTTCGAAGTAAGTAGATTCACCACACGACTACCGACACCCTAAACATTTTACGCTTGATCTTTTTTAAACAGAAATAACTCGTACGATCTATAAATTAGGAACGGACGAGCAAACAAACAAACAAATAATACATAAATAAATAAGACATAAATAAATTAAATAAATAAGTACATAAATACCTGTGCTAAAAATGAATATTAACAGTGTCCATTTATATCTAGTTAACAAATCCCTTATCTGTCGATAGCTGTTCTTCATTTTGATATTCTGTAAAAGATTTTAAATAGACATCACTGGAATAAGTATAAGTATGTAATTTTTTATTCATAGAATTATTTGGAGCCGAAACCGCCATCCAGATATCCAGGTACGAGAACAACCGGATGTTCGGATCGTTGTTTTATTCTTAGTTGACGTTACCATTTTTGCGACCTTTTTCAAAATAAATGACGTCGTTTTTCTTCCTATTTATCGAATGTTACTTATCAAATATTTTTCATTATGGATTTATTTCTTTTTTAATGTATTTTTTTTGTTGTCGATTATAATACATTTTGTGTCTTTGATGTGTAATAGTTTTTGTAGTTTGATATTTTTTTTAACATGTAAAAATTTATATAAAGGGAAATAATTACTTCAAATATAATTGTTGAGTATCTACATTCTACATTAAAATAAAGGGAAATAATAATAAACATTTCATTTTCAAATTTAACATAGCTTTGATATTAAATTGCTTTTGTAATTGTTAAAACAGTATATTATTATGAAATTCTGATGATTGGTTAAAAATTTGGTACACTTTGAGAAATTTTAAAACCATGTTAAACATTATATTGTAGTTAAATATAAACTCCTGTTTGCATTACTGTAATCGGTGGATTTCTAATCGGATTGGACATAAGTATATTGTTACTGGTCCTAAGTTTGTGGTAAGGTAATGGTAAGAAGCCTGAGGAAAGTTAATAGTAACACCTCGATAGGCTACACTGCCACTGATGAAGTTGTACTAATTAACACTTCAGACATTATGTATTTAATAAAATTATATTAAGATAAATTATACTTTGGGAATATTTATGTATTATAAATGAAATTTAATTTTATTGCACAAAATTAAATATCATTAATTTGATCTGTTTTGTTGTTACTGTTGCTAAATTAGGCCCAGTGCTCGAACCATTCGGGGCTGTAGTCAACCCGCAAACAAATGCGGCTACATTTTGGCGTCCCTGGGTGGGCCTATTTATTTAGCATATACAGTAATCACTGGTAATTAAAAAATTGATTTGTATGTATTCAATATTGTATATTCATTGATAGTCAAAGATATTGTTTGAGTTGATATTTATTGCATACTTTATGATTGTTGCTTGACTAGATAGTAGTGACGATGGCTTATAGGAATCCACCCCCACGTTACGCAAGCACCCCTACTGCGGTGACTTCGACATATGTGTCTAGCTTTGTAGGACCATCTTATGCTGACCAAAATCTGACTTTTCATTTACCTACTAGTACATATGGCCTGTTTAATGACCAGTCCCTTCAGTCCCCTCATACATCATCATACATGCCTAGATATCCTATATTAAGTAGGTCATCTTATGTTGCTAATGTTGCCTGGGCTCCTGTAACAAATGCAATAGTTGCATCTTTTCCTCAATCAAGAACTGTACTTTACTCAGGAAATGCTTTCAATAGTGACTATTTGAGTAATGTGCCTCTTACTTCTTATCAAAACAGTACAGTTGAACCAAGAGCCATAGGCATATATTCTGAACAAAAACATACGGAAATTGAACCCCCTTCTTTTAGTTGCAAAGAAAGATGGATAACGTTTGTCAATACTTTTGAAGATATAGCTAGATTTAATAAATGGGCCCCTGAAACTATTATACATTGCGTTTTAGAGTTTGTATGAAGGATGAGGCGCGATTTTATCTTGATACATTACATCCTGACCAGAGTGAAGATTACTTTAGCTTGAAATGGGCATTTGAACAACGCTATGGTGACAAAACAAGTGTAAGTGCTTACAAAAATCAGTTTAGGCGTAGACGTAAGAACCCTGGCGAGAAAATTGACGCATTTGCTTTTAAGTAAAGTCGATTAGCGGGTTTAGGTTACCCTGGACAACAGGGCACACTGTTAGATGAAATAATTTGCAATTAATTCATTGAAGGGATAGGGAATTATAATTTTTTAAATTATTTAAGGCTTGAAATGGAGAAAATCAATCCCGTTACTTTTGAAGCACTACTTAAGTTGGCTCAGAGCTATGAAAGTGTCATGAACCCGTTTCAGCCAAATAGAGCACAGGCTAGGTCACAAGATTATTACAGTCAAGATCATAAATTAGATTTACAGTCTGATAATCAATTTAGATCTCAAGACAAAAACAGATATCCCGAAAGAGACATTCGCAGGATAGTCTGATATCATTGCCAAAAAGAGGGTCATGTAGCAACCAGGTGTCCGGAAAACTCAAACAGGCTGAGCTAAAGGCCTCTAGCTCAGCCTCTTCCAATAATAGAAGGCCTTATAAATCTGTTACTTTCAGTGAGGACACGAAAAATCTTAACTTAGTTAATTCTCAAGTCAATACGCTTAAGAATGATAATACCCACGATGAAGATAATATATAAAGAGTATAGCTCCGTCATTGCGTGTTTTTCATAAGGAGAAGACGACTCTTTCTCCCTCAAAAGTTAAGACAAAATAATATATTGAGACAAATAAAGTTAGAACCGCTGTAGTAAGAAATAGATCTAGGTCTCCTTCTCCTATTAAGGAAACTAAAAATTCATCTGATACTAACAGGATAGAAACAGTAAGTCCATGTGCAGTCACTAGTTCTTCAAATGCTTGCTGGTACTTCCATGCAGTAGTTAATGGAGAAAAAACACGTTCACTTTTTGATACCGGTTCCCCTTGGTCTATATTATCAAAACAATTCTATCAGCAGTTACAAAACAAAAAGCCTACTTTAAATGTAGTTGATGAGAAACTTACTGTAGCAAATGGGTCTATCCTCAACATACTCGGTAAAGCTATTTTTCAATTCTCCACAGAAGCAAAGACATATGACTGAGAATTCCTTGTTGCCGATCTAAAGGGGAATAACTGTCTTGTAGGACAAGATTTCATTGCCAAGCATGGGCGATCATTGTCCTGGAAATCTTTAGAATGGCAAACTAAAGCTGGCATAGTGCAACTTCACAAGCTTAGCTCAAACTGTGTTGGAAAGATTTCACTATTACAGAAAACTATTGTTCCTCCATTGTCTGAAATACAAACTTTTACAAAAGCAAATTATTTCTTGTACGAGAACAACTATCTGATAGAACCTTTTAAAGAATCCCCTAAGAAATCTTAGAAGTCTTTTAAAAGCCAGAAGTCTTGTAGCTACTTGTTGTGTATTTAAGGCTTCAGATAAGCCTGTTGTACTTAAACAAAGTCAGACCATAGGTACAGTCAATATGATAGAACAAGTAGTTAATACAGAACAAGAAAAAAATTTGGTTAATGCCAATTCTTTGCCCGAGCACTTGAGGCCATTGATAGAGAATTTTTCTTCTGAATTGACAAAAGATGAAAGGTCTAGATTTGCAAACTTAATTATGAAATATCAAGATATATTCGTAGGACCTGATGGAAAATTGGGTCAAGCAAAATTCGCTGCTCATAAAATCAATACAGGTGAGGCACGTCCTATTAAGGTCCCTCCTCGTAAATATTCACCTGCTCAAAGAGAAGTGATAGAAAATGAAATAGATAAAATGTTGGATCAAAATATTATTCGTCCAAGCGATAGCCCTTGGTCATCTCCTATTTGTCTTGTAAAAAAGTCAGACGGGAGTTGGCGATTCGCTATTGACTATAGACAGTTGAATTCCGTGACTGTAACTGACGCTTATCCATTACCTAATACTCAGCTAATTTTTGACACTCTAGCTGGCTCAAAATTTTATAGTTGTATTGACCTAGCTTCAGGATACTGGCAGGTCCCTATGCATCCTGAAGATCAGTGTAAGACCGCATTTGCAACACCAAGTCGTGGCTTACACGAATTTCTGGTTATGCCATTCGGATTAGTAAATGCTGGTGCAACCTAGGAAAGACTAATTGAACTTGTTCTAGCGCACTTACAATGGCGGAAATGTTTATGTTATTTAGATGACGTAGTTATTCCTGGTCATGACTTTGAAAGTGCCCTCGAAAATCTCACAGAAGTGTTCGAAAGATTGAGACAAGCAAATCTAAAATTAAAGCCTTCCAAATGTAAATTTTTTCAAAAACAAGTTTCATTTTTAGGCCATGTTATTTCAGAAAAGGGAGTCAGTTGTGACCCCAAAAAGATCTCGGCGGTAATAGATTGGCCCCAACCAGAAAATAAAACTCAGATTAAAAGTTTTCTTGGTTTAGTCAATTACTATAGGCCTCATATCCCGGATTGTGCCGAGATTTGTCAACCCTTAACAGAACTGACAAAAAAGAAAGTACGATTTCGCTGGAATGATGAGTGTGAAAAAGCCTTTAATCTACTGAAATCAAAATTAACTGAATCTCCGGTGTTAGCATATCCTTCTCGAGATGGCATTTTTATTTTGGAAACGGATGCCTCAGCCTTCGGAATAGCTGCGATTTTGTCACAAATACAGGACAAGCGGGAGGTAGTCATTGCTTACGCAAGTAAAGCTCTCTCGGCTTCGCAACAAAATTATTGTACTACCATGAGAGAATTACTTGCTGTAGTAACCTTTGTCCGCCATTTCAGACATTATTTACTTGGTAAACGCTTTAAAATACGTACAGATCATGCTAGCCTCGTTTGGCTTAAAAATTTTAAGGATGCTGATGGAATGTTGAGTAGATGGCTTAGCATATTATTTACTTTTGACTTTGAAATCGTTCATCGTAAAGGGTCTCATATGAAGCATGTTGATGCGTTATCTAGATCGGTTAAAAATTGTAAACATGGGCAATGTGTAGACTGCTCACATAAAAAGACAGATTGTGTCTTATCTTGCCACAAAATTGCATTGGGAGGGTCAAAACAGTCTACCTCGCGACATATAGCAGACGGTGCGGTTTCAGGCCTCGAGCTTGAATCACCAGACAGTGGGTCTGAGAATACTTTCCGAAAGTGGCACTGCTATCTCCGTAAATACTATAAGTAATGAGTCTGAGAGTTGCCCTTTGACTAATTGGGTGGGATCATTCGGAAAAGATGAGTTAAGAAAACTTCAACTTGAAGATCCTTG